AATATTTTTATATTCAATACAACTTCTAGAGGGTAAACAGTAAATTTGAGGAAGTGGGTATGGGAGTAGAGGTAGACTCCTAAAGACTACACTTTCCACATATTTGTACTTGTATTTTTACAACCAGAATGCAGCTTTTAAAAAAATTAAATGAGAATGCAAAAAGCTTCACATTTTTATTTTCACTTAGGAAAAAAAAAACATGCTATGTCTTTGATTTATGCCCTCCAGCTATTTATAACATGAATAGTTACAATTTGTACCAGGTTCTCTGAAATTTTGGTAAATTGAAACTTTACAAAATACTTTCACAACCTTTTTTTTTTTTTTTTTCGAGAAGAGAGTCTTGCTTTGTTGCCCAGGCTAGAGTGAGTGCCATGGCGTCAGCCTAGCTCACAGCAACCTCAACTCCTGGCTCAAGCGACCCTCCTGCCTCAGCCTCCCGAGTAGCGGGACTATAGAGCGCCACCATGCCGGCTAATTTTTTCTATGTGTAATTAGTTGGCCAATTAATTTTTCTATTTATAGTAGAGATGGGGTCTCGCTCTTGCTCAGGCTGGTCTCAAACTCCTGACCTCGAGCAATCTGCCCCCCTCTGCCTCGCAGAGTGTTAGGATTACAGGTGTGAGCCACCACCACCCGGCCTTTCACAACCTTTAGTGGCATTTCATTCAATCACCAACCACACATGACAGTGGCCCCATAAGATTATAATGGAGCTAAAAAAATTCTTATTGCCTAATGATGTAGCTGTTGTAACATCGTAGTGCAATTACTTAATTTTTGAATAAATTTACTGTAGCCTAAGTGTACAGTGTTTAAAAATCTACAGTGGTGCCGAGTAATGTCCTAGGCCTTCACATTCACTCACTACTCACTGACTCACCCAGAGCAACTTTCAGCCCTATATTCTCTATTCATGCTAAGTATAAGTGCCTTATGCAGGTATACTGTTTTTTATCTTTTATACAGTATTTTTACTATGCCTTTTTTTGTGTTTAGATATGTTTAGATGCACACTTACCAATGTGTTACCCCTGCCTACAGTATTCCGCACAGTAACATGTTACACAGGTCTGTAGCCTGGGAGCAATAGGCTGTACCATATAGCCTAGGTGTGTAGAAGGCAATGCCACCTAGGTTTATGTAAGTACACACTATGATGTTAGCACAATGACAAAATCACCTGACAATATATAATATTTCTCAGAATACATCCCCATTGTTAAGCAATGCATGACTGTAGTTGAAGTTATTCCTATTTTCCAGGTAAGAAAACAAAGAGTTAAGGCACTTGACTCTGCTCTTATGAGAACTGAGACTCAAATCCACATCTGATTCCAAGTTGAATGTTCTTTTACTCTACATCACCATCTTCTTGGAACCTTAGTCTATGCAGCATTTCCGCAGACAGGGGCCGCTATACACCAAGAAAACACTGACTGGGTACTGTAACCTTCCAGAAGCATTCAAAGTGGGAATAATCATTGCTTATCAATGTCAAGAGATACTGCCTGGGTCTATTCATGCCCAATTTACTGAAGGCGAGGGCTAAAATACTTTTCTTTATTTTTTGGTTTCTTGGGGTGAAAAAATGTTAAAGACAAATTATTTTTACCCTTGCATATATTTTTATTATTTGAGACCTTTGGAAATACAGTCTGTGTTGTGGCGTGTTTCATATCCCTCATCTAATCATCGGCAATTGCTCTGTGCTTTACCTTCAACAATGTCCTAAATCTGACCTCTTCACCCCTTCTCCTCTACCACCAAGTTCCAAGCCACCTTTTCTCTCACCTGGATCACTGTAACAGCTTCCTAGCTGCTGGGCTCTGCTTCTCCTCTTTTTCTCCCTACAATCAGGTCTCCACCTGATTTTGAAAGTGTAGGTCAGTCAAGGCACTCTTCTTTCCCATATAGAATCAAGTCTGGAGTCCTCGCTTTGGCTTACAAGTTTGATCAGCTTGACCAATTTTCTGGCTACTTCTCCAAACCCATCTCCTACCAGTCTCCCTAGGGCTCACTCTGCTCCATCCACACCAGTGGCCTCTGCTATCCACATATCACACCCTCCCCCACCCCAGGCCCTTTGCATTTGCAGCTCTCTGCGCCTAGAACATTCTTTCCCAGATATCTGCACTGATGCTTGCTCTCTGCGCTCAGATCTCTGGCCAGTTGCTCCCTCCTCGCTGAGGCCTTCCTTTACCATCCAGCGTATACAAAATAGTACCTCCTGTACTCTCTATCCCCTGAATCATGCTTTTTCTTTGCAGCACCTCTGACATTTTTAAAATATGCATTTAAATATATGTGCATGTTTATTGCCTGTCTCCCATCATTAAGATAGAAACTCCCTGAGAGTAGACACTGCTGGATTTGTAGGGCATAGAACAAGGCCTCCGTGTTATAGGCATTCAGCAATTATATGTGAATGAATCTATCTTCCATTTATACTTTTAAACCTTTTTTTTTTTTTGCAATATATTAACCCACTTGCATAGATTGAGCTTGACTCTATGCTATTGGAGCCCTTGTTAACAGAAAGAGGAAATGGACTTCTCCATCAATACCTCATCATCTTTTGAGAAAATAATTATTTGGGACATAGTCTCAGTCTATCACCCAGCCTAGAGTGCAGAGGTGTCATTGTAACTCACTGCAACCTCAAACTCCTGGGCTCAAGTGATTCTCATGCCTCAGCCTCCCACATCTGGCTAATTTTTTCTATTTTTTGTAGAGATGGGGGTCTCACTCTTGCTCAGGCTGTTTTCGAACTCCTGACCTCAAGCAATCCACCCGCCTTAGCCTCCCAGAGTGCTAGGATTTCAGGGGTGAGCCACCACACCCAGCCGAAATAATTTTAATTGACAAATAATTGTGTATATTAATACTTCATCTTTATTACAACATTAAACACTACCTTTTATGCTAATTTCCAATGCAGGACAACCACGAAGCTGCAGATATACTCTTCCTTATTCCAGTTTCCTCAAGGAGAGGGCTATGGGGGGGAATAAGCATTGAGAGGAGGGGAAACAAAGCCATTTCTTGGAGGCTGAAGAGGCCACACACCCTCTTTAACAGGAAGCGTCAAGGGGATTATGAACCTTCTCCTCCTTTTCCTCCAGGACTTCTTTGGGTCATAGAGCTGAGGGATTTGGGGGCTAGTGTTCCCTAATGTTGCAAGGCTTATCTAATTTGGAGAACACCAGGCTCAGAGAAGAGAAAACAGTAACAGACTCTTGAGGCTAAATCTAGACTGAAATTAACGATGTAGCTCTGTGGTCTCTGGGAATCCTGTTTATTGCGCTGGAGAAAGAATCAAAGAATGGATTTGGGTTCTTGTACTAAGCACTTTGAATACTCTTAATTTTAGATAATAGCAGTCCTATGAGGTAGGTATTGTCATCTCCAGTTTTTAGATGGGAAAATCAGGAGGCATTAGGGTTCCAGAAGAAACTGAATGGCACACTCAGGTTTAGCTGAAGAAAGAGGACTTCTACTGAGGTGGGGACGGGTTGCAGGGGACTGACGAAGGATGGTGAAGCACCCAGGGAACTGGCGATGGAAAGGAGCCAAGTCTTGGAGGAGGGCCAGTAGAATAGGAGTGCCCGGAACCGAGAGCCAGGAGGCAGGGAGAGTGGGGCAATACATCCCCAGCATTGCTGCTCTCTGATCTTGAGTGCTCCATAAGTTCTCAACCCTTCCACCATGACAGAATTTTTACAACTCTGGGTTGCGCGACATATTACTGATCATGATATCCGTTTAGTGACTTGCAATCAGCATTTTAAAAAACGATGTACAATAGAAACAGAGTGCACCTCAGCATGTTTGCATCCGACAGACCACAATGAATATATTTCTTACCTTGAAATACACTGCCCGATACCATATTGCTCTCGTATATCTTAATTCAGCCTTACAGGGAAGTGCCCTAAATTCCGAAACACAGAAACGGCCACAGTCGTGGGAAGACTGTTACAAACAGAAAATGCTTTAAGAGTTTGGATGCAGTTGACAGGAGTCAGCCCATGTTTCCAAAGTGCTGCCCGTCAGTGAACTGGTTGTTTAGCAACAGGAGAAGCACCAGCAGATTAAGGCCAGGAAGTGGAGAAGAAATGAGCAACAGGGCTCAGCTAGCATCTTCACAGGTGAACATCTTTGCATTCTCAGCAATTGCAGTAGCTTACTCAAAGTATTTTCTTTACATGACTCTAGAAAAGATTATGGGCTTTGTAATTGGACAGACTTAACTTTTTTGTTGTTGTTGTTATGGGTCACATCTTTAATAATGGATTTAAGACCTTGGGAGTTAACCTCCTTGATTTGTCAAATATAAACCTCTTAGAGTCCTGGAAGACATATGTAAATGGCACTAACAGAAGGGAAGCTTCTGACCTGGCATTTGAGTACAATAATGGTGATTCTGCTTGGTACTGTAATAATCCCACATTGGTTTTTAAGTAAAAATGGTTATTATATGTGAATGCACTTTCCTTGCTTCAACCAGTAACCTATTATAATATTACAAGGAATTGTTATATGGGTGACTGTTTGTAAATCATAGGTAAAGCTAACACTCAAGTGAATCCCAAAGTAAATTCCACCCACGTTCTCTCTGTGCAGAGGAAGCAGCTAGGGAGGGGCCAGAGCAAGGGCTTAGAAGAGCAAGGATTAGAGGGAAAGATTGATGTGAGTTTTGCACAGGAGTCCCGAACTGAAACTGGCATCATGAATGTAATCAAACCTGCTCTGTAGCCTTACCCACCATGTCACCCTACCCACCTCCCACCAAAAAACATTTTATGCTTTTGAGCACCAGACTTATTTCAAAGACACTTTTTTTTTGCAAATCAAACTTTAAGTATGACTTTATTATTCACTCCTCCCATTTGTATTATTGAAAAAATGAATACAAGATTATAAGTTTGAAATATAGCCAGGGTCATTTTTTCTCTCCATAATTGTGACACTACTATGCTTTCACCCTGGTAGTCACTTTCAATCAAAGGGAAAAAAAGAAATGGAAAAAAAAAACAAAAACGTCCCACAGAGGAATGATGCAAGTAGATGAGCTTATTAGAATAAAATTTCTTTTCATCTTACAGGCCAGTCACATCACACATATCCAGTTCAGAGGATGCTAATATAAACCTTGCCCACCTCTCTCAGCCCATTTTCCTTACTCAGACAGTTCCCAAGCAGCTCTCTGATGGAGACAGAATCTTTGGTTTCCAGGACAAACTGAGCCACAGCCTTCCCTCCTGGCAGATGGTTGCTCACCGTCTGACTTTTGACACTGTCCAGGACAACTCCTCTGATGTCTTTAGGCTTTCCCGGCACACCAAAGATGATAAACAGGCCCAGACAATCCTCTCCTATCAAGCTACAGAATTCTTCCAGCTTATCAAATCTACTTTCCTTCCAGGAAGACTGCTTCACCCTTGGTTCTGGATTGGAGAGGTCACAAGGCTTAGATTCCACGAGAGGAAAAGAAGACATCTGCAGAGTCTGTACTGCCAGCTGAAGCTTTATTTGCTTATCAGATCCCCAAAAGGTCCAAATCCAGTCTGCTCCAAACAGTAAGGCTTGGTTCTTGGTCATCTTGGTGGTGGTAAGCCACTCACCCACTCCCTTTTCTTGGCAGAAAGTGATGAAGTGGATCAAGAAGATCTCATTCAGAGTATTTGCGGCTGGGCGGAGTTTACTCAGGGGATATTCAAATCCAAGATACTCCTTCAGTTTCTGAGCTGCGTGGACTACAGCTCCACTGACCACCTCACAGACGCCGAGGACCTCTTTGCTGTCCTTCAGAGCCAATTGTTGCGATGCTTTTTGCCCCATTTTCTCTGCACCCAATTAACACTGTTCCCAAATACCAAACATGTGAACTTCGTTCAGAATTAGCTTTTTCAAAGCAAAAGTTCTGCCAGGAAGTCACATTTATTAAAATGGTCCCAGTTTTCTAATGCTACAGCTAACTTGGTGTAGCTGAGCTTATATACCTGCAGCTAAGCAAACATGTTAGGTGTCCCTGTTTGTCAACTGGGTGTGTTGTATTCATAGATTCCTGCTGGCTTATGTAGAGATATTAAATTTCACACAAAACATCTGTTCTATCTAGGTTACAGTCCCTACTTTTAATCTTTTGTAATCTCTTCCAAGATATGTTTCCTTTTTCTAAATTTTAGTTAAATTAAAAATAGGATGCTAGTTTTTTAAAGACCCATACACCTCTGTCTACAACTACTTTCTTCCAATTTGGTGAATCATTTCTGTTTACTTTCCCTATAGCCCTTGTGCCATGATTCCTTATTCCCCAGCTCAGCTGCCTGTTTCCTTTCATATAAAAGTTTCTCAGAGAAAGACCCCAAATGTCTATCTATTGATACATGTTATGAACCCTACTCAAATGAATCTATGGCCACTTATAAAGAGTTTGTGTTATTGTCTCCTATAACAGAAACAAAGGAAAACAAAGTAACCACAATAAAATTGAGGCAATTTTCTCAATTGACTTTATTTCATTTCATATGGTAATCCCAGCAGTATATGATATTTTGTAGATAAAATACATCATCAATTTTCTAACCTTATTACAGATCATCAGTTAATGTTATATTGTCCTGAATAAAAAATATTTGGCATCTGTAACAGTCTCCTGGTATTTGCAATCAGGTTCTAACAACAAATTGACATATAGTCATATTAAAATAAAGTCCAAATACAGTAAGAGGCCAATACAGTTACCAAATAATGAATGGTAGGATTCAAAGAAATTATTAGCATTAAATCAGTTTAGTTATGAATAAATAGTAATCTAGTATTACAAGTTCCTTGATGAATAGCTTGGTAACTTGCTGGTAACTTAAAAAATAATACCACTGATATTCAAATATAGTTTATAACCAAGTCCACTGGCATATACTGAACTGCCCACTCCCAGTCTAATTTGTGAAAACCTGTCTTTTCCATGGTTGGCTACCATGAGTAATTATGTAGCACTGAATAAAAAACAGAATTTTTTCTAATATTCCTAAAAAAAAAAACATTAAACAGTATTTTTTCTGTTGCAGCTTTCTGTTTTCTTTACAAAGAATATTTGGGCCCATTGCTAGCTACAGAAAAACATGACCTATATTGTATCATTGCAAAATAGCCATTATTATAAAACTAATTTTGCAGCCTCAGTTTTTCTGAACTCTGAAACAAAGTATTCCAACAAACACTCAGCTTTTTTTTTAAAAGCTCCATTCATTGAAAGCCTGAGAAATGTACAATATGTTTAGGCAGACTGTTAGTACTTTGATGTGATGATGTATTTTAAAAAAGAAAAATAACACTTAAAAAAGAAACTTAACACTGTAAATTAAACTTTTGTTTTGTTTTTGGATTCTTCAGAAGTTATTTCTACAAATTTTTGGGGGGAGGGGCTTCTGGATGTATTCAAGTTAATAGTATACTAATGTCCCTCGAGTTCTTCCTTATGAGGTAAAAAAGATCCAATATTAAGGCTGAAATTCCTAAATTGTTCAACAATTTTTTTGGTGCATCATCAAAAAGGGGGTATTTCACATATATTAATTTAGCCTCAATGATCAACATTGTTAAAATTCATTTGCGGTGAAAGATAGATCATTCTGACCTCTTCAGGAACCAGCTGACATATGGAAATTTTGATCACCGTATCTTTAAAAAAAAAATGTGACCTTTTCACCATCTTCCTGATGTCACAAAATAAAAGTTCTATTTTCTATGTACTGTATATATACATATATTTAGAAAAATATATAAAAAGACAGTAAGAGGCAAGTAGAGGTATGGCTGGCATTGAGTGTGTGCACTGAATGCTTTTTAAAGGAATTCCACATACTCATTTTGAAAGCACATAACGTCCTACTACTTAGATGGCTGCAGTGAACACGGATGTGACAAAATCACGCACACACTGGTTCCTGCTCCCCAAATCCTCCATGCTGTGGATGTGAATGGAAACACTGTGGTAAAGGACTCATCTTAAATGCAACACTTTTAAATAGAATATATCACAGATTTTTACATTAAATAGAGGAAAAACAATTATACTCTCGTTCGCCAGTGTCTCGTTTTGCGTGGCACCTTCAGAATCGGCACGTCTCCCCTGCTTCCCGTTTCTACTTCTCAGTAAGCAGAAAGCTGGATCGATAAACAATATACAGTCCGTTGCTTATTGTGTATATGCTGTGAGAGTTTAGAGAAGAAAGCGGAGGAAAGACTAAGAGCTCCTCATGTTCACCCAGGCACTGGGGTCAAACATTTGAGTCTTCGTCTGTGATGCTGGCACTGGGGGAACGGGCTGCAAAATCTTTAAACATGTCGTCTTCCTTCAACATGTGCTGGAAAACAAGGAGACGGGAAGTCACGCACTGAGAGCCACGAGCTCAGAACTATGCATTCTCCAAAATGTATGTAAATGTAGTCCTTTGGGGTTATTCTGGAAGATGTTTTTAAAGTAACATTTTCAATTCATTGTACCAACTTACTGTCAGATTGTTGATGCCTTCAGAGAATGCACCTATCTGTCTCACTGTCCCTTCTGAATCTTCCATCTGCAAAGAACAGACCACATCGTGACATATTCACTACTTTCATAATTTCAAGGAGAGCCCAGCAAAATGAACAAAAAGTCTAAGAAGAAATAATGGAAATGGTATTGAATGGGGCAGGAGCAACACAACACTTTCGATGATAATCTCCTCTCGTTAGTGCCATTGGAAGTGAAAAAATTAGAAGAAACATTTTACCGACACATCTAGTCTAATGACTTTGGTTATAGTACCAAAGCTATGTGTAGTCCCTTGACTTTAACCTGAAAAGGTAGGGAGTATGACCTGTCTATTCCTGACTTGTTTTAAATACATAGATTTCCCTAATACTGAGATGGCATAAGATAGGTAAATAGCACAGGCTTTGGAGCCAGCCTGATAGGTTGGAGACCTTGGGCAGGTCACATATTTCTCCAGGCCTCAGTTTTCTTATCTTTAAAATGAGGATAACAATACTCCCTATGTCTTAATATAACCATGAACATTAATATACGGTAAGTGCTTAGGATAATACCTGGAATGTAAGCAATCTAAAAGTGTTTACTATTATTTTATTATCTTTATTTTTAGTTATTTGAAGAAAACATCCTCAATCAGCAGACACAGTGAACAAAGTTTCCATTTAGTGTTTGAGTGCTGGAAGCACATTCAAAGAGGTATGTAGGACTGTATTTACCTGCTCTAATCGGTCCAAATCGTCTTCATCATACAGGCGCATGTCCAAACCAGGTTTAAATCCTTTCTTAGATGCACTTCCTGATGCCTGTCCCAATTCCATTGGACAAACATATTCTTCACCATCTTCTTGTTTCTTCTTTCTCAGATTCCCAAAATTGCTGAAGGTAAGTTTCTTTGGCTTTAAAAGAAAAGCAAACAAAAGCATGCAGGGATTTGATAAAATTCATATGACAAAGGACGGATAACATGTAACTTTTTTGGCAACTCCCCACCCCTACATGTATAATCATTCACTCTGTAATATAGAGAAAAGCAATTGGATGAGTAAATTCCTATAACAAAAACCACAGCATCCTGGCCATATAAATGATGCATCTAAATATGATAAATATGTTATAAATCCTTGTTATAAATCTCAGAAGATTAATCTTATTCTTATCCACACCGACTAGCTGGATAGTCACTCTGATAAGCAATATATGCCAAGAACCTTAGTTGTGATTAGACTGCACTTAAAGCAATGGGATTTCTCAGGGCTGAATCCAATTTTGCAAGGTTTTCCAATCTAAGATCAGCAAAAGGAAATGAAATGGTCTTTACTACATTTTCTCTTTGGGTGAGGCTATGCTTATCTTCTATGCCTGTTCTGCTTCCATACAGGACTAGAAGTGCCTGCTAAAAGAATTCTCACTCTTTGGAGAGAAAATGGCCAGTGATGCTTAGAAGAGAAATTCCATCTTAGTCCCTGAGACTGTTAAGGCAACGGTGATCAGAATAATGACAGAATTTAACAGACTCTTGCAGAGGTTTCAAACCTGGCACATCTCTTAAAGTAGGAAAGGATCCAAAGAGAAGGTGCTCAGGCAGATAAAGGGGCTTAAAAAAATAACCCGGTACATATATCTGGAGGAGCTGGTAAATCTTATTTCCACATTAAAGTTCGTTGAGATAACATGTAGGAATGATTTCAAAGAAGAAATAAATAGTCTGAATTTGGTAACATCCACAAGTTCAGGTAAATTAGGAAATATCCAGTCTCCACTGGTCTTCCTTCAATCATTTCTCAAGTATCTTTTCCTGACTTGCCATGCTGGCCAATTATAAGCCAGACAAGCTGAACCTGTGCAAGGAGAAATCTTCCTCTTATATTTGACTTATCCATAGGGAAATAGGACAACTGCTGTCAGTATCTGGACCTAAGTCACAAGCTCTCTGCATTGGCAATACATTGATCACAGAAACAAGATCATGCTCTTCATTATTGTTAACCTTAAAAGAATAAATGATTTGGCAGAAACCTTCAAAATGCATTTTCTCAATTACTCTTAAAGACATATATATATATATATACTTTCAACCCATCTATAAAACTTAGTAAACCTCAGAAGATAAAATATATTTTATATATTTTATCTTCTGAGGTAATGGGTCATGGTCAAAATTGAGTCATTGCTTCAGGCAATTACTAAATGGTAAGGGCTTGAACCAACCTTCACTTTGGCAGTAGCTGTTAGTAGTACATAGTCTGGTAACTCCATGGCGTCTCGCTTCTGGCGCTGGGCCTCAGCACCAATCAGAAGGTTGAAATGAGTGGCCAAATGCCTTCGTAACAAAGTCTTATTTGGTGGGATGTTCAATAACTGAGCCATGGTTTCTACATTAAAACGAGGTTCTAGAACCTATAAAAGGAAAAAAAATTCAGATTGTTAAAAGGCACCATAGGGTCATACATGTTTGTCTTGTGCTATACAATTAGCAAAGCTCTTTCATTCCCATTATCTCCAATGACCTTGTCAACAGCCCAGTGAGGCAGTCAGGGTACAGACTATGACCTTTAATTTACATATCTTTTCTTCATTTTGCCAGAGTTAATAAGTGGTAGAACTGGTTTTGAAATCCAGGCTTCAGGCATTATAATGTCAGTGCTCCTGTCTCTTTGGGGTGCTGCCTTTGGAAGCCAGTTCCTTAAGCAAGCAACATCAATATGCAGAAATACAATCTGTGTCTTTGCAGGGGTTTTAAAACACGATCATAAGAGAGACAGTGGCTAGATGTTATTCAACATGAAAGAGGACACTAAAAAAGAACTGGGCTTAAATGCAATCTAGAGTTATGTGCCATCAATAAAAATACTCTGAAAGGAAAGATCTCCTAGAAATAATGCAAGAGGGTTGGGTCAGATGATTTTAGGATCATGACAAGCAAACTGGTAATATCCTATGCATTAGACCAAAGGAAACAAAATGCGTCGATTATTAAATTGAAAGAGAGTTTTACCATGAGCCCACCATGGACACCACTGCCTCTGAGGTTGGGGGCATATTCCGCCAAGTCCACGGAGCGTAGCCACTCCATCACTCGATGGTTGGTCCACTGCTGAACCTCTGATGGGGCGATGCTATTCTATGGGAACAAACAATCACCAAGAGCTTCAGTTGTTGACCACAGGATCCTAAATATCAAGCTGCATGTTCTGTCTAAAACGTCTTCCCCATGGAGCACAGTTACTCAACATCTCACTCAATGCTTAAAGAAACTAGGAAAAGTGTTTGCTAATTTAAATTGTCTTTTAAAGAATTTAAGTCACAGAGTTTCAAGCTTTCCTTCACGCTAATAAAATACTGCTTTAGGAAAGGGATTCACTATTGTGATATATTTATGTCTGTGGATTAAGGAGGCAGGAAAAAAAAAATACACCCAAGAAAAGGAGGCAGCATCGCTGAAAAACCATCTTTGACTTTCGTTACACAAGTGGAACCACCATGCGGGGGTGCGGGTGGGGAGGAAGGAGTACAGAAAAACGAAGTCTAAGAATAAATGTGGCTGGGCTGGAGCCTGTGAAAAGAACAGCTTCCCCTGCAGGCTCCAAGAACAAACAGGTCTTAATTGGACACACAGGGACAGAGACATGCGTGGAAGTGCTGCCTGGAAGCCTCGGTCTTAAGATGCTACCTCGTCCGACGGGCGCCTCCGGAGACAGTTCGGTTCAAAGTTATTGATCCTCAGGACCTGGATGGCTCTTTTGATGCTGAGCTGGTGTAGCACGCTCACCACCTTCAAAGTCAGCAGGTCATCCTGTAAAAAAGAACAGGAGGAGGAGCTCACTGTGCTGGCCTGTGGCAGGGGACTCTCTTGGGGAGTCTCAGAAAACTGCAATAGAAGAGCCCCTCAAACCAACAGGCCCCAGGGGCTTGTCTGTGTTTTCAAAGCTTTTATTTAGTAACAGAACCCTTTTTCCTGTTCTGAACAAAATCCTCTCCAGAACCCCAAATGAATGCCATTCCCAATGAAGTTGACTCCTAGTGGTTTCTCTCTCCTCCAGACAGGCTCTGGAATTCTTCTGTTTACTCCTGAGCTTCGAGAACTTTATCTTAAGATAAAGCACATCCTTAGGCACTGGCCAGACCGCCCTCTCTTTTTCCTTTCAGCAGACAGGTAAGAGCAAGACAGGTAAGAGCAAGCGATGCCCATTGGTGATCAAGGCTTGGTTTTCTGAACTAAGGCACATCATATCATAGTTTTAGGGAAAATCACAATAGTTGCTCTTGTAAGACTATTCTCTGGCCCTAAAAATTCTCTGGTTCTAGAGTATCATGCTTTATCTAGCAGACATTGTGAACAATTTTGGAAAAACCATTTCAATCAGTGTAAAGGTTTTGGTGAGAGTTAAAGAGGAGAAATGAAGTTATACTAATCATATATATGACCGATCAACCCTGAAAAACCTTCACCAGTCTGTGGCTATTGGGAACATTTTCGAACATACCAAACACACCAAAACAAATTATTTCAGAAGAAGGTGATTTGGGGGCCAGTGTCAAGATAAGCACCAGTCTACTTCCAAATACACCCAGAAAATAAACAAGGAAAACATCCATTTTAGACACACCTTACTGATAACATGTTTCTTATGAAAAATAAAGAGGAAAAAATATACCATAGAAATATATTTAAAATAAAAATATTAGATAATCAGTTTAAATTCTTTTTTTTTCTCTTCTTTTGAGCCAGAATCTCACTCTGTTGCCCCAGGTAGAATGCAGTGGCATTACTATAGCTCACTGCAACCTCAAACTCCTGGGCTTCAAGCCTTCTGAGTAGCTGGTACTATAGGTATACACCACTACACCTGGTTAATATTTCTGTTTTTAGTAGAGATAGGGTCTTACTCTTGCTCAGGCTGGTCTCCAACTCCTGAGCTCAAGCAGTTCTCCCACCCTGGCCTCCCAGAATGCTAGGATTATAGGTGTGGGCCACCGTGCCTGGCTCAGATTACATTATTGAGGATCCTGAGCAAAGAGTATTCCCTGAACTTTTTATGGATTGATTTCTTAAAAGTAGTGTCTCATAAATTAGGAATGGTATTTACTTTTTTTTTTTTTTTGGAGATAGGGTCTTGCTCTGACCCTGGTTGCTCAGACCAGACTCAAACTTTTAAACTCAAACAATCTTCTTGCCTCAGCCTCCTGAGTAGCTTTGACTACAGGTACATGCCACCACACCTGGCTAATCTTTCTTATTTTTTGTAGAAGGGCCATCTCACTACATTGCCCAAGTTGGTATTGAACTCCTGGCCTAAAGCCATCTTCCCACCTTGGCCTCCTTAAGCGCTGGGATTACAGGCATAAACCAGGGTACCTGGCTAATATTTAACATATTTTAATCTAAGATTGGGATAATCATTCCAAACATTTCAATGTAAACTATTTTCATCTAACTAAATTCTATCAGATTAAAAACATGTATAATGTTTATAATGCAACTAAAATGTTAATTATTTTTGAAATTCTTTAAAGGATCTTACAAGGAAAGACTGTTTTCTTTTAAATCAAAACAGAACTTTTTGTGATTTTTAAAAGTTTTGGATTTTCAAAAACTTTTTATTTTTAAATAATTTTAGCTTTATGGAAGAGTTGACAAAGATAGTATTCTATATACCTTTTACCCAGCTTACCCTAACATTAACATTTTATATAAGCATGATACATTCATTAAAACCAAGAAATCAATATACACAATAATATAATCAACTAAACTATAGACTTTATTCAGATGTCACCAGTTTTCCCACTAAGGTCCTTTTTCTGTTGTAGGATGCAATCCAGGATATCAGCTTAAAACAGACTTTTTGTGACCTAGAACTTCCGGGGTTAAATTTTCCAAAGTGTTACTTTTTTATAGCCATGGAAGTTATCCGTATGCTTCTTATGATTTTAAGCCTGAATTTGCTCACATTCCCAGGAGAATATATTCACAGTTAGATTGGTAGGCAAATATTTACTGAATTTGTTCCAGGCAGAACAGGGAGCTATTAAAAGCAAGGGTCTGGAAACAGCCTGAGTTCAATGGCTTTCTGTCACTTTCTTTTTTTTTTGTTTGTTTGAGACAGAGTCTCACTTTGTTGCCCCAGCTAGAGTGCCGTGGCATCAGCCTAGCTCACGGCAACCTCAAATTCCTGGGCTCAAGCAATCCTTCTGCCTCAGCCTCCCGAGTAGCTGGGACTATTAACCACCATGCCCAGCTAATTTTTTCTATTTTGGGTAGAGACGGGGTCTTGCTCTTGCTCAGGCTGGTCTGAACTCCTGATCCCAAGCAATCTGCCCACCTCAGCCTCCTAGAGTGCTAGGATTACAGGTATGAGCCACCTCGCCCGGCCCCTTACTGTCACTTTCTAATTGCAGTAACTTGGTCAGCAAGTTACCCACTCTCTTGATTCTTTTGTTTACGCATCCAAAAAAAATGGGGGTAATAATGGTAATAACTCAATTAATAATTCAGTAAAATTCTTAAATTTTAAGAATTTAAAATTCTTAAATTCTTAGAGTAAATGTGCAAGGTACTACACATATTGATATCATTACATGTAGGTTTACAGGATGGGCCCACCAAGGTAAGGACTTGGGCTCAATGATAGAGAAGAAAACAAATCCCATGAGCTGAACTCCAGATTTATTTGATATTGAGAAATTCCTACTTAGGTTGGCTGTTCAAAACTTTCCATTTATTTAAAGAAGAAGATATTTGTGGTAGTTGGGTCCATAGCCTAGTTTGCAGAAGGCTATCTAAATAAAAGTAACTTAAATACAAATTAATAATACTATGGCATCTAAAACAAAGTTCTGCTGGAATCCATCTCTCCCCACGGTTGTACAGTAGGGAACAGTCCCTCCTACTCACTGGCTGGTAGGCTAGAAATGGACAATAAGGAAGGAACCAGAGTGAAAGTTTAGCCTTCTTCCCTCCTTTTTTACTCCCAGTAACTTCTGCCCTAGCAGAACTGGGCTGAAGTGAGAAGGATGAGAAGTTTTCACCTAACCATCGTCCAAAGTGAAAGGGAAGGAACAAAATGGAAGACAAGTCCCTGTGGGTGTCAGGTCAAAAGGGCAGCCTCTTCCGAGTGGTCACTGCACACACAAGTTAGAAACAGCCAGGGCTTCGACACTGTACATTCTCTCCATTTTTAATTACCTTTATGAGAGGTAATTCGTGTACCATAAAATGCACTCATTCAAAGTGTACACTTCAAAAACACACACACGAGACAAAGCGTACACTCGAATGTTTACACTGTTGAATATATATAATATTAATTTTCTGGTAGAGCTTGGTTTCAGTTAGGTTTCACTTAGATTAAATTGGGGTTTCAAATTATCCCAAGGCCATTGCAATCACCAAATGCTACAATTTAAGCTTCACAGGAAATGTTCCCACCTCTCTCCTCAGCAACACCTTCAAACTCTGGTGGAATCATTGTGAAAACATTATATTTTGCTTACTCCATTTCTGTGTTTTTCAGAGAAAAAGAAGTTTTACTCCCCCAAGCTCCACGAGGGAATCACTTACAACAGTCATGTAATGGAGCATTCGACCATCTACCCGTCCTTCATCAAACTGAGTCTTATACTGGGGGAGGCCAATGTCATCCAGCCATCCTAAGAGAGAGAAAACAGTGTCATCACCAGGCCACCAAACACCTGTTCTTTTTTTTTTTTTTTTGAGACAGAGTCTCACTTTGTTGCCCAAGCTAGAGTGCCGTGGCGTCAGCCTAGCTCACAGCAACCTCAAACTCCTGGGCTCAAGCAATCCTCCTGCCTCAGCCTCCCGAGTAGCTGGGACTACAGGCATGCGCCACCATGCCCGGCTAATTTTTTCTATATATATTAGTTGGCCAATTAATTTGTTTCTATTTATAGTAGAGACGGGGTCTTGCTCTTGCTCAGGGTGGTTTCGAACTCCTGACCTTGAGCAATCCGCCCACCTCGGCCTCCCAGAGTGCTAGGATTACAGGCGTGAGCCACCGCGCCCGGCCGCCTGTTCTTAATGTTTAAAAAGAAGATGCAGCTATATATAGTATTATTATTATTATTATTATTATTATTTTAAAGAATAAAACCTCTTACTAGTGACCCAGTTGAAATCTAGTTTCCCATGATTGGTTTCTTCTTCAGATCCCAGGGCTTGCAGAGCCAGCTGGAGTTTCTTTCGATGAAGTGAATGCTTGATTCCAAGTTCCTGAAACAATGAACAGGAACACAGAATTTATAATGCTATCTATACAGGCTGGATGCCACTGACAAAGAATGCAAATCGCCCCAAAATAAAGCTAACATTAAAGACCCAGTTCTTCATTAAATTACAATAGTAACTTGGGCTAGTAAAATATTGTTGAACAAAGAGCCCTTAGAAAGCAAAGACCACCACAATTAGTTTAGTGTTGTGGTAGGCATTCCCTAGTGACTCTTTTTTTTTTTTTTGTAAGATAGGAACTGTAGCATGCATAATAGGGATTTTACTCTGATTTTGTACAAAATGTTAAATAATTGGGAGGAGATGTTAAATAATTAGACATAAAGTGTAAGGTGCTTTTTTGTTCCTTTTGCAAAGAAAAACTGAATTGCATATATTACATTGAGAAGATAGGCCATCGATAAATGCGCACAATGATTTTGAGAAATGAGCTTAAAGGCTTATTATTATGCCTATAAAATTATTTTTCATTAAGATGTCCAGTGGCTTAAATGTTTCATAAAGAATCAAGACCAGGCCCTTCCTTTTAAGTCCATGCTATAAAACGAGCATGAAGCTATTTTGAAAACTCAAACTTTTTCAAGAGGACTTACTAGCTTTGTCCACATCCCTTTCGGGAGTATAAAACAATCCTGCATTAATATTCCCTTTCCCTTGGTATTCATTTTATAAACAAAATAGAGAAGCAGTCACCTTCTCTAGATCTTGCTGAGAAGCCTGCAAAAGTGTCTGGCCAGATATAATCCAGTGCTTGCCGGAATTCAGGTAGAAGCCCAAGCCCTGTTCCACGAGCCAACTGCACACCTGCTCCTTGGTCCATTTGGCAAATGGCATATCCAAGTCACTGTGGGAAAAGGAGTAAACTGCCTGAAAAACAATCCAAAGCCAATCCTTTGGCTTTTCATCGGTTCTGGACAACTGTATATGCCATAGATATGGAATTCCCTGATGATACACATTGCACCATGAAAAGCTTCATTTTTAGTACCTATTGGAGGAGGAAGTGGTACTGGAATTGAAAGTTACCTTCTAAGACCACTGTCTGTATTTCAATGAAACCACAAAAGATTGAATGTGATAAAGCAAGACCGTGTTCTACAGAAAAAGGCCAAGCTGAACCAATGTTATTGGAAGACTGGATTCCCAAACAGGAATCAGACTGAAAGAAACTCAAGTCTAACCTGAATTAACTTTAGCAGAATTATGGCTTCTCCCCAGATGGTACCTGATGAGAAGAGGGTGATAAACCATCGCTGAGAGTAGTTTAAAAGAGCAATCAAAGCAAAATTCCTGTTTTCGTCTACTGAGACACACAAATACTGTCTCTCTTTGAAAAAAAATGTGAACATGACCTTTTTGGTTTCTTTTTAAGTGAGCACAAGGAGGTCCCCGGCTGCTGTGTTGAATGAGAACATATGGCAAATGAGACTATTTGGTATTTGAAGAAGGACAAAGAGAGTTTCCTCCTTGGTGAAACCTGTGTCCGGTGTTCTGCCCGCATGGGAGGGACTGTGTTTAAAAGGTTTCTAGCCCATTATACTTGTAAAAGATTTGGTATCAACACTTTGTACTTTATGGTTGCCAACCCCACCCTTTTATGCTTAGTCAGTCAGTGTTGTACCTATAAACCAGCCCTGAACTATGATAAGAAAACTAAGGCACAGAGCATGCCTGAGAAGCAGTCTTGGGTTTTGTTTTTTTTTTTTTTTAGTAGAGACATGATCTAGCTCTGTTGCCTAAGCCCAAAGAAAAAAAGGTCATTTCAAATTTTTTTCAAAGAGAGACAGTATTTGTGTTGTCAGTAAAAAACAGGAATTTTGCTTTGATTGCTCTTTCAAACTACTCTCAGCGATGGTTTATCACCCTCTTCTCATCAGGTACCATCTGGGAGAAGCCATAATTCTGCTAAAGTTAATTCAGGTTAGACTTGAGTTTCTTTCAGTCTGATTCCTGTTTGGGAATCCATCTTCCAATAACATTGGTTCAGCTTGGCCTTTTTCTGTAGAACACGGTCTTGCTTTATCACATTCAATCTTTTGTGGTTTCATTGAAATACAGACAGTGGTCTTAGAAGGTAACTTTCAATTCCAGTACCACTTCCTCCTCCAATAGGTACTAAAAATGAAGCTTTTCATGGTGCAATGTGTATCATCAGGGAATTCATATCTATGGCATATACAGTTGTCCAGAACCGATGAAAAGCCAAAGGATTGGCTTTGGATTGTTTTTCAGGCAGTTTTACCTTTTCCCACAGTGACTTGGATATGCCATTTGCCAAATGGACCAAGGAGCAGGTGTGCAGTTGGCTCGTGGAACAGGGCTTGGGCTTCTACCTGAATTCCGGCAAGCACTGGATTATATCTGGCCAGACACTTTTGCAGGCTTCTCAGCAAGATCTAGAGAAGGTGACTGCTTCTCTATTTTGTTTATAAAATGAATACCAAGGGAAAGGGAATATGAATGCAGGATTGTTTTATACTCCCGAAAGGGATGTGGACAAAGCTAGTAAGTCTCCTTGAAAAAGTTTGAGTTTTCAAAATAGCTTCATGCTCGTTTTATAGCGTGGACTTAAAAGGAAGGGCCTGGTCTTGATTCTTTATGAAACATTTAAGCCACTGGAACTCTTAATGAAAAATAATTTTATAGGCATAATAATAAGCCTTTAAGCTCATATTTCTCAAAATCATTGCGCATTTATCGATGGCCTATCTTCTCAATGTAATATATGCAATTCAGTTTTTCTTTGCAAAGGAACAAAAAAGCACCTTACACTTTATGTCTAATTATTTAACATCTCCTCCCAATTATTTAACATTTTGTACAAAATCAGAGTAAAATCCTATTACATGCTACAGTTCCTATCTTACAAAAAAAAAAAAGAGTCACTAGGGAATGCCTACCACAACACTAAACTAATTGTGGTGGTCTTTGCTTTCTAAGGGCTCTTTGTTCAACAATATTTTACTAGCCAAGTTACTATTGTAATTAATGAAGAACTGGGTCTTTAATGTTAGCTTTATTTTGGGGCGATTTGCATTCTTTGTCAGTGGCATCCAGCCTGTATAGATAGCATTATAAATTCTGTGTTCCTGTTCATTGTTTCAGGAACTTGGAATCAAGCATTCACTTCATCGAAAGAAACTCCAGCTGGCTCTGCAAGCCTGGGATCCGAAGAAGAAACCAATCATGGGAAACTAGATTTCAACTGGGTCACTAGTAAGAGGTTTTATTCTTTAAAATAATAATAATACTATATATAGCTGCATCTTCTTTTTAAACATTAAGAACAGGCGGCGGGCGCGGTGGCTCACGCCTGTAATCCTGAACACTCTGGGAGGCCGAGGCGGGCGGATTGCTCAAGGTCAGGAGTTCGAAACCACCCTGAGCAAGAGCGAGACCCGTCTCTACTATAAATAGAAACAAATTAATTGGCCAACTTATATATAGAAAAAATTAGCCGGCATGGTGGCGCATGCCTGTAGTCCCAGCTACTCGGGAGGCTGAGGCAGGAGGATTGCTTGAGCCCAGGAGTTTGAGGTTGCTGTGAGCTAGGCTGACGCCACGGCACTCTGCTTGGGCAACAAAGTGAGACTCTGTCTCAAAAAAAAAAAAAAAAGAACAGGTGTTTGGTGGCCTGGTGATGACACTGTTTCTTCTCTCTTAGGATGGCTGGATGACATTGCCTCCCCCAGTATAAGACTCAGTTTGATGAAGGACGGGTAGATGGTCGAATGCTCCATTACATGACTGTTGTAAGTGATCCCTCGTGGAGCTTGGGGAGTAAAACTTCTTTTTCTCTGAAAACACAGAAATGGTAAGCAAAATATAATGTTTTCACAATGATTCCACCAGAGTTTAAGGTGTTGCTGAGGAGAGAGGTGGGAACATTTCCTGTGAAGCTTAAATTGTAGCGTTTGGTGACTGCAATGGCCTTGGGATAATTTGAAACCCCAATTTAATCTAAGTGAAACCTAACTGAAACCAAGCTCTACCAGAAATATTAATTTTATATAATTCAACAGTGTAAACATTCGAGTGTACACTTTGTCTCGTGTGTGTGTTTCTGAAGTGTACACTTTGAATGAGTGCATTTTATGGTACACGAATTACCTCTCTAAAGGTAATTAAAAATGGAGAGAATGTACAGTGTCGAAGCCCTGGCTGTTTCTAACTTGTGTGTGCAGTGACCACTCGGAAGAGGCTGCCCTTTTGACCTGACACCCACAGGGATTGTCTTCCCTTTTGTTCCTTCCCTTTCACTTTGGACGATGGCTAGGTGAAAACTTCTCATCCTTCTCACTTCAGCCCAGTTCTGCTAGGGCAGAAGTTACTGGGAGTAAAAAAGGAGGGAAGAAGGCTAAACTTTCACTCTGGTTCCTTCCTTATTGTCCATTTCTAGCCTACCAGCCAGTGAGTAGGAGGGACTGTTCCCTACTGTACAACCGTGGGGAGAGATGGATTCCAGCAGGAACTTTGTTTTAGATGCATAGTATTATTAATTTGTATTTAAGTTACTTTTATTTAGATAGCCTTCTGCAAACTAGGCTATGGACCAACTACCACAAATATCTTCTTCTTTAAATAAATGGAAAGTTTGAACAGCCAAACCTAAGTAGGAATTTCTCAATATCAAAAATCTGGAGTTCAGCTCATGGGATTTGTTTTCTCTCTATCATTGAGCCCAGTCCTTACCTTGGTGGGCCCATCCTGTAAACTACATGTAATGATATCAATATGTGTAGTACCTTGCACATTTACTCTAAGAATTAAATATTTAAATCTTAAAATTTAAGAATTACTCATTATTTAATTGAGTTATAGCATTATTACCCTCCATTTTTTGGATGCGTAAACAAAGAAATCAAGAGAGTGGGTAACTTGCTACCAAGTTACTGCAATTAGAAAGTGACAGTAAGGGGCCGGCGAGGTGGCTCATACCTGTAATCCTAGCACTTCTAGGAGGCTGAGGTGGGCAGATTGCTTGAGATCAGGAGTTCAGACCAGCCTGAGCAAGAACAAGACCCGTCTCTACCCAAAATAGAAAAAATTAGCTGGGCATGGTGGTTAATAGTCCCGCTACTCGGGAGGCTGAGGCAGAAGGATTGCTTGAGCCAGGATTTGAGGTTGCTGTGAGCTAGGCTGAGCCACGGCACTCTAGCTGGGGCAACAAGTGAGACTCTGTTCAAAACAAACAAAAAAAAGAAAGTGACAGAAAGCCATTGAATCTGCAGGCTGTTTCCAGACCCTTGCTTTTAATAGCTCCCTGTTCTGCCTGGAACAAATTCAGTTAAATATTGCTCCAATCTAACTGTGAATATATTCTCCTGGATGTGAGCAAATTCAGGCTTAAAATCATAAGAAGCATACGGATAACTTCCATGGCTATAAAAAAGTAACACTTTGGAAAATTTAACCCCGGAAGTTCTAGGTCAGCAAAAAGTCTGTTTTAAGCTGATATCCTGGATTGCATCCTACAACAGAAAAAGGACCTTAGTGGAAAACTGGTGGAACTGAATAAAGTCTAGTTTAGTTGATTATATTATTGTGTATATTGAATTTCTTGGTTTTAATGAATGTATCATGCTTATATAAAAGTTAATGTTAGGGTAAGCTGGGTAAAAGGTATATAGAATACTATCTTTGCAACTTTCCATAAAAGCTAAAATTATTAAAAATAAAAAGTTTTTGAAATCCAAAACTTTAAAATCACAAAAAGTTCTGTTTTGATTTAAAAGAAAACAGTCTTTCCTGTAAGATCCTTAAAGAAATTTCAAAAATAATTAACATTTTAGTTGCATTATAAACATTATACATGTTTTAATCTGATAGAATTAGTTAGTGATG